TTTCTAAATGGTACTAATGAAAATCAAATTTTAATCAACCTTACTACTGTAATATGAAGAGGCTATCAAATACTATATTTATCAAATATGTCAATAAAGTATTATATAGTTCCATTCAATAGCTAATTAATACAGTTCAGTAGTTTCTGTTCCTGTAGTATCTGTATATCTCATTTGCAGAAAGGTACATAGTCACATCTATTCTCTACCCTAACAGGCACAAACAAGTTATTTGAAGGCAGGACAGTGCCACTTTTTTTTTAATACTGGGATAGAGCTCAGGACCTTGCACTTGTGAGGCAGGCACAGTAGTGCCACATTATTATTCAGTAACAGGTTTAATAAATCCTGGTGACCAAATGAATTTATAAATAAGTTATAATATTATACAGTAGCGTAAAACTGTAAGGCAGCTGTCCAGAACCAGAGATAGTATGTGGTTTTGTTAGATCATTACTTAGATTTCTGGGTCTTTTCCTGAGCTTTTTATGCCTATAATCCAACTCTTAAGGCAGATCTGTTGATAAAGAAACACTTCTGTTTTCTAAGTCACCTCTTACAAACAAGACATTGCTGGAGTTTGAGCTGGGAAGAAAACGCAGATCTATTTCTTTATATTGTGGACAAAGGAACAGAGGCCCCTGAAAAGAATGTTCTTTCATTTCCTGATCGATACAGCCATCTCTTAGCTTTCTTTCCTTCATACACAATGAGCTTTTTTTCTGCTTACTTTTCCCTTTCTCTGCAATAGATTTCATTTCCCCTAATGTTTATCACACTTGCTCTTTTTCTGTTTCAACTCTCTTACACTGCTTAGCATCAATGTAAGCATAAGTCCAGAAGCCGTTTGTCAGGCCTCCTACTGCTGATATTCCTGTTTTCTCATCATTGTTCATGTCCAGGCCGATTTGCACCAATCCATACCAGTCTTTACTGAGATCTTTGATGTCTATTGTCCCAGAATGGATGCATCATTGTGTCCAGGATCCTCCTGTGTATCACCTGCTGTGTTTTGAAAAATTAACTGAAGACTCCATCAATCAGCAACAACATGCTCCACACACTGCATATCTCAGCCACGTTTACTGCAAAGGGAGCAGCCCTTTTATCACTGAGGAGTTTTATTATTGCCTTCTGCTTGCACTCAGTTTTCATTCATTCCTTTGTTCAGCAAACTATAATCGAGCACTTCGTATGCATTAGTGACTATTAAGTTATTGGGAATACAAGAATTCATAGGACTGACTCTCAAAACTTTGTCTGTAATTATAGAGTTATGGAAAATAGAGGGGCACTGGAATTAAAAAACCTTGGTTTGTATTTGGCTCTGGCTTCAACTAACCATGAAAAGATTTAAAATGTCCAGATTTAGTTTAATAAGAGAAAAATAAGATCCATGTTCCTGCATTTGTATTGGGAATAAATGACAGAATTTTCAAAGAATCATTAAATGGTAAGTTAGGGAACACAGAGTTAGTTAGGCATGTATGTATCCCTGAGTTTTCTCTATTATTGGAAATATACCTTTTTGCCTTCAAGGGAATGAAAGAGCTAAAAGCAAAGAAGCAACAAAGACATAGTGGTTCCAATGCCAGGTCCCAGTCAAACACAAAAACAGGCCAACCCAACACAGAGCAGAAATGCCTTTGTTCCTTTTCAATCCAACATCAGGCCCCAGTCCAGAGCTGTCAATAGTAATGCCTAGCTCTTGATGGTGACCCCCGACAGAGAGTATCAAAGAGAAAAAAAATCAATGGCAGCAGCCTCCAGTCCCAGAGCAGAAGCAACACTAATAGCAACCAAGAAAGGATGATTCTGAAGGTGGAACAGGATTTTGCAGATTCCTGACTTTTGGACACCTAATGCAGTAAACATGTCTTTGACATTAGCTCTTGACTACTGTAGAACAAATAATGTCCCCTTCGATTCAGATGTAATAAAAGAGTCTACGGGGCTGGGGATTTAGCTCAGTGGTTCTCACAACTGCCTCGCAAGCATAAGGATTTGAGTTCGATCCCCAGTACCAAAAAAAAAAAAAAAAAAAAAGTCTATGGTTGGGGCACAATGGTATGTATAGCCAGACATGAAAATTATTCTTCTGGGTGGAGCCAAGAAATGTTGGTATCATTGAATTCTTATATTTCCTGTAACCACACACTCGTCTTTTCCCACTTTTTGTAGTTAGGGTGTCAGTTATGTATGCAAAACTGCAAGCCTAATGAGTTCAGTGATTTTGCATGCCAGATGCCTTGTTAGATTTATATCCATTTTCATAATGCTTTAGGGTATTAGTATCTCCATTTTACAGATGATGAGAAACTCAAGTTCAGGGAAAAGATCACAGCCATTTCCATGATCACAAACAGGAAAATTTGGATTTCATCCTGGGTATCTAACTCACAGAGCCAGGCGAGCAGACACCTCCCACCCTGAAAGTGCTCAGCTTTTATGGAATGGATTTTGAATGAATACTGGGCCTGCTTCCTTCTTCATAGTGCCCAGGAGATTCAAATATGGGCACTTAAAGTTTTCATGGCTATTACTTACTTTGTCATCTCCTGAGGAGAGTAGTGGAATGTGGATTGTACCCTGGAGAATTGCTGGAAGTGCTGTTCAATGACCTTGCCCACTTCAGAAAACTCCTTCTTCTATAGTATGTGTACTCACTGGTGTGCGAGCACACATATACAGACACATACCTGACTGCTACCTTAACCAACATTGCACGGAAGGGACTGGAACATTTTTGTCACAGGTAAAATCAGAAAAACATTTTTCTCTGATGGTTTTATCATCCTACTTCTTTGCACAATGGACTCAATAATGTGTTCAAACACATGGCTATATAGAATGCTTTATCTCAATTTGTACTTCTTGATTTATTCTGCTTTACTTTAAAAAAAAAAA